AGTTAAACCCTTGTTTTGAATAGTGCAGTCATTATTAGTTTAAGTTTTAAAGACTTTAAATGTCAGTTTTTTCTGATGTTTTTGAGTTAAAAGCTATTACTTGACATTGCCCGAGTGGCTCATTTGCATTGATCTGGACTGAATATGGATCGGGCTGCACGCCGCAGCGATACTATGATGATATTGCGCTTGGGCTGTAGGAGCCCCTCCGGAGTCTGAAACCCCACAGTGAGCGCGGGTACCCAAATGGATCGGGCTGCGCGCCGCAGCGGTCATGTGCATTGCATTGCATTCATGCATTGATTCTTGTTTGTACTACGTGTCATGACATTCGGCACTCTCATATCATTGGCATCTATGCTACTTCTTGCACTGTTTACCAGATACCCTGGTGTTATTTGTTGATGGAGTGTTGTGCCCGAGGGGCTGACTTATGTGCGGACTTGCACTATCTGATTACGCATTCATTTGCTTGACTGTTGGAAAAGGATATTTTCAAAAGAGGTTTTTAAACTGAGCCAGATATTTTCTAAAGGATTTTTCACGGTTTTACTGTTTTCTCAAAGGGTTGTACTGTCCTATATAGCATGATGGGAGTGCTCTTACGTGATTTCTTGCCTCTTAGTTATTATTTACTCTTATTACTCACTGAGTTGGAAGTACTCACTTTACTCCCTGCACCTCGCGTGCAGTTGCAGGTATCGTTCACCCGGTAGCGGGTTATTAGCGGATTGAAGGTATTGTTATTGTAGCTGAGCAAGGTGACCGCCAGCGTTCGCGGCACCGGATGTTGTCTTTTGTTTTCCAGAAATTTTACTTGTATACATTTATTGGCATGTAGTTGTGTTAAGGTTTCCTTAGATGGTCGTGACTTGTGACACCCCGGTCTGGTAGTAATTAACAGTTTCTAATGCCATTAAGATGTATCTTCTATTCATTTATGTTTAATAATTTGTTAGTGAAAGGATTTGGGTTAGTTGGCTGGCCTTGTCTTCACGAGAGGCGCCATCACGATCGGGTATGGGAATTGGGTCGTGACAAGTTGGTATCAGAGCCTAGGTTACTAGGTCTCACGAGTCATGAGCAGGTTTAGTAGAGTCTCGCGGATCGGTACGGAGACGTCTGTATTTATCCTCGAGAGGCTGCAGAACCTTTAGGAAAACTTCCCATTCTTGGAATTCTTATCGTGCGTACTTGATTCAGCTTGAGATATAACTCTTGAAATTCCTTCCACACATCTGTATGCGCACGTGAGCGCTCAGTATTATATGTGCCTTGATGGTTTGTGATTCCCTGATCGAGGGGCGAGATGTAATCTTCGTGAGTATGTTGGGCCAGTCTGGAGGACTTGAGGCCGGATCCTTGCCTATGGCTTGAGCACCGAGGTGCTGATTGTGTGAGCGAGTGTTTTGAACTTATATGTTCGGTATTGTCCCTATTAGCCGGAATGGCGGTGGGATATCCATGTGATTAGTATGTTAGTACGGCGAGATGTGTCTATATGACTTGGTAGTGACGAAGAAGTCTGTAGGATAATAGATGAATTGTTAAGTGATTCGACTCCTATTGTGGATTGATGTGTAGCCCGAATTATGGGCGCGTGAAGAATATCTTCGTATCTCCTAGTTGGAAAGTAAAGTACAATACGTGTGGAGGTATGCGTTCAGATTCAGGAAGACTAATGACTGAGTAACGTATATGATGGTGAAAGGTATGCTGAAGTACTAAATTGAGGCGAAGCAGGGGTCATCTCCTACGGAGTGTTCTTGAGTGGTATGGTCCTTACGTGTACGTTAGAAAATCTCATGTGTAATTGAAGGGTATGTGTTGAAATTTAAAAATTGGGGTCGCTTAAGAGAGTGGACTCAGTTGATGTGGGGATAAATGCG